TTAATGTTTTATAGAAATCGTTTCTTTACGTAAAATTTGGTATGCAGTTATTCCCCACAAAACAACAGTTAACACGCTCACATGCAATGGTAGATTTTACTTAAATTGTTCTTGATAAGTGGATTATAAATTGCAGACAATATAATATATATATATATATATATATATATATATATATAATATATATATATAGATGCAAGTACATATTTTACCTGAATATAAGAGCAGGTACACGCTGCAATACAGAGCTCTGCTAATATTTCACAGCTCTATTTCACAGTTATCTGAATTCACAGTTAGCAGTTTAGCAGTTAACAGTTTCACAGTTAGCAGAGCTCTATTTCACAGTTATCGTAACATATTACAACAATGTTATATACATGTAAATATAAATATGTATAAATGTGTGCGTGTGTGTGCGTATATATATATATATATATGCATGTGTGTGCGTATGTGTGAGCGTGCGTGCGTGCGTGCGTGCGTGCATGTGTATCCCTACGTGCATGGGGTGAGAAAAATTTACCTTACGGCTTACACCTACGGATTTTTACGCAATGACAACACCTTTTTTCATGACTACCCTATTTCACAATAGCATTCCCTACGCCTACAGAGCGATGTGCGGTTACTACGGCAACGCGTGACCTCCAATGCAGCGTGCAGCTAGATTTTATTAGCACACTTCTAGACTGTGGCCGAAGGTGCGGAGAAAAGCGTCAGCACGTCGGGTGACAGTCACACGGTTTGCAAAGGAACAACGTGAGCCATCAACACAGCAGAGCTTAGGGGCCGCTTATCACAGCCACTTGGAGCGTTTCAATAAAATATAATGCTAAATAAATACGAAATCGATTTACTACCAAAGTCTTAATGTTTCTCTACTCTCTTTCTTTCACCTATTATTGCCGACAATTTCCTGTAAATGCCGTCCAAATGCTCATCTGCAACACACTGTCACACGCTGGCCGCCGCACGCTAGCTGCTGCACACTGACACATAACCTTATATATATTTATGTGTCAGTGTGCAGCAGCTAGCGTGCGGTGTACTTGTGTGTTGCAGATGAGCATTTGACTGGCATTTACAGGTGATTATATAGGCGAAATAGAGTAGAGAAACATTAAGACTGGTAGTAAATACATTTCGTGTTTATTTACCTTTTTTTTTTTTATTGAGACGTTCCAAGTGCCTGTGGGGCCGATCTCTTCAGTCTAACAACTAGAAATGTTTGTTGCCCGGAATCTGTCCGCGCGACAACGGCAGCTGTTTATCTCTACACCTAAACATTATATTGGCATTGCAAGCCAATAAACTATACTTTAGTTATTGATGTAGAAGTGTGGCTACCCCATTAACCAAAAACGATATGGTCACTGGTGCATAATTTATTCATTCAGATCGATCTGTCAATAGAACGATATTTTTAATAATCACATGCTATCAGAAAATATCAGATTTATTTACATAATCTGATATTACATTACTCTTGATATCGGCACAGATAAAGTAAATATAATAAGTGATATATATTTTGTTTGTGTGCGTGTTAGCAGAGAATGGCAAATGACATTACACGGCGGCCACGGTGTACCGCAATTTTGATTTAATTTTATGAATCTAACCTAGGCTAGAGGCTTTTAGCAGCAATGAGGCTTTTGGCAACAATGAAAAACACAAGGTATAACACCCGTTTAACATTATAACAAAGAAATTACTGCCTAGTTGCCCGGACAATACGATAATACAATACGACAATAGACGAACAATACGAGTTTTGTGGACCTCGAAAATCATAGTTCCTTGAGACCAGAGATTTACTCGATAATGCTGCCATCACAATCAGACAATAACAGTATAGTGGAGTGGCTCCTAACCTTTTCACCAACAAGGACACCTTTCATTGAAATTAATTTTCCCACGGACCTCTTTCTCGATGGAAGCAGCCGTTAGGCTATTTTATAGCTAAACATCTATTGCTATATATAATATCAAACATATATGAGCCTCTTGAAATTTTGAACTTAGTTCACGGACCCCCAGGAGTCCGGGGACCCCAGGTTGGGAACCACCGGTATAGTGTGCATGGGCATGGGTGTATCATAAATCTCACAAAGGATAATCTTCATAGTTATAATTTCAGGCATAGAAATAGATACATAATATTATACCTACCTACGTATTTCTATGGTTTCAGTATTCTTCAGACATTGTATAGAGTAATTGTTACATTGTTACAACTTACATCAGCTGTGGCCCACTCACAGCTATACTAAATCGAGGTTAAACACCATAGGACCCGTTGTCAGAAACAAAATGAGTCTTAACTTTACGATGTAATGTTTCTGACAGTGGGCCCCTGAATTCTTGGCTACATACCGAAGGGGTAATATGTTAGTTACATGGCTCACTTTAGCGCCTTTTTCGCATGATATACATTCATAATTGGTTGGTTATTATTCCTAGAGTTTAGGCTTTTTGTTATCGCGAAATGAAGCTGTATGTGTATAGTTTGAATGGGTTAAATGTCATGCCTAGCTATGAAATTTATGAATGCCCATATGCACTGAACTGAATAGTGACCCAAATTTCAGTTAATTCCAAGTACATCAACACCTTGTTTTCTGATGCCATAGGATTTACCTTGTCGTCCTGCTTTGATTAAATCTATGACCAGCTGTGCAAATGCAACATCCATTCTCTTTGGGTTCACATTTATCAACTTCTGATTAATAATACAGAGCAACGAAAACGGATATGTACAGTAGGATAATTAAAACCAAATTTAACTTAAATTAAAATAAATCAAAATTTAGTGTTATCCTGAAAGCAATGTTACTATTTTCCATTAAATTTATAATATGATTTTCCATACATGACGCTGTGAGAACAACTAGTAAAACGCAAATGCAGTGCCAAGATGACTGGCGAATACCATTCTAATGTCAGCAAGCTAAGCAAAATGAGCAATAGCAAAAACAAACAAATGGGTTGGGTGAACAAGATTAAGTATCTGATTAAAATTTACATAAATAAAATGTTAATCCCATTTGTTCTCATTTTACTGAAAATACTACAATGGTGGTTAGCAGATTGATTAATCGGTGTTATATTAAGAAAACTACAGTGTGAATGCAAAATGATAAGTAGAAGATTTAAAAAAAAACCTATTCTCCCTTCTTCTTCTTCTTCCCCTACCTACCACATTTTTCTCTGTTTCTCTCTCTCTCTCTCTCTCTCTCTCTCTCTCTCTCTCTCTCTCTCTCTCTCTCTCT